TAGAAATTCAGTAACTAAAGAAAGTTTCACCAGGCTCCCAGAACTTCTTTTCAACATACAGAAATATCTTAAAATTGTTTAACTGCCTTTTTTTAAGAAATACTGCCCATTTACTGTCTGGCTCAAGTCACAGTGAAAATGAAAAATGGAATATATTACCAAGCCAGTGAAGGAAGTAAAAGATTTTTCTTTAAGTGGACAGGCATTGTGATCTTGAGTTATTCTTTACTTTAGACGCTAGATGTCAGTGATATATTCTTGTTCTGTTGTTAGGTGCTGTTAGGTGTTTTTTTTACTTATAGCACTGCATTCTGTTTATTGATATACTGTATAGTGGAGAACAGTTCACTCTGCCACCACAAAGCAGGAAGATGCACTGAGACAGAGCGGACCAATAAAATACAGATTCACATAATCCACAGTTTACTGACATCATTAATCAAAAGGGTGACTTACAGATCTGTCTTATACACATTGTTTCTGTGTTGTTTCTGCAGGGACTGATGGTGAGATTACAATGACTCAGACTCCAGCCACACTGTCAGTGTCTCCTAGGCAGGATATCAGTCTCCAATGCAGCGCAAGTCAGGACATTAGCTGGAAATTAGTCTGGTACCAACTCCAGGCTGGTCACAGTCCTAAACTGCTGATTAAAGCTGGGGATGGGTGATTTGAGTTTCCAGTCGGGTTTCCATCTTGATTTAATGACAGCTAATCCAGAACTGTTTTTACCTTCAAAATCACTCCAGGACTTCAAGTGGAAAATGCAGGAGATTATTTGTATCAGAAGTATAGAAGCTTTCACAGAGTGATACATAATAATAAGGAGAACAGAGTGATGCAATTAATAGATGGGGATTATTAGGAGGCCAACAGGAAATTATACTAGGATGCCAGGGTAACACCCCTGCATTCTTCAAGAAACACCCTGGGATTTCTAATGACCACAGAGACTGAGGACCGCAGTTTTACATCTCATCCAAAGAATGGCTCCTTTTTACAGTCTGGCATCCCCTCACTATACTAGGGCATTAGGACCCACACAGACCACAGCGTGATTGCCTCTTCCAACAGCAATATCTCTTCCAACAGCAATTTTAGTTTTTCCAGGAGTCTTCCTTCCAGCTACTGACTAGGCTCACACCTGTTGAGCATCAGTGGGCTGTCAGTTGTGAGTTGCAGGGTGCTATACTCTTCTGGAGACTGAGAAAGGACACATACAATGAGTCAAACTGCCAACTTGTCTTTCTGCTTTTTTCAGGTTGGCATTTTGGCTCCTTCTTGCTCATACTCTTGCTCATAAATCCATCTCTATCTCATTAGGAGTGAATCTAATGTGAAGTTAGCCTGTGTTACTGTACATACTGTACGTCCTCGGTTCGTCTCGTGCATCTGTACGTAGGATATTCTTTATTTTACCACTCCCCACCAGATTTATTCAGTTGTAAATACTTAGTAGTTACAAATGAGCTTCTAGATTATTGTTCACTCCAGTGTTTTCTAACACAGAACACTTTGTTCATCTCATTTCTTTCCTAATATTTGCTTTCGAATACTGTCTGTAAGGCTGTTCACTTTCATGATAATCTCTTTGTTTGTTTCATCCTCTTTTTCTTTTCACTTGAAAGGGGAGTTTGATCTCTTTTTTTAGATTTTCCTTTCTCTTTGCTTGACTGGACTGTTTTTATATATCTCAGAAATAAAAGAGTTAAAGAGCAGGAAAAACAATGTCTTACTGTACATCAGCTATTCTCAGAATTCTGCACATCATTTGAACATGATCGTCATCCTGACTTCCCCAACTTCCACAGCAATACTAACTATAGGAGAAAGCTGTCCTAGAAGATAGCCTTACTTGGAGCAGGGGAGGAGTGCTGGTGTCATTCATGCCTTTTCACCTCTGCTCCTCTTGGGAAGAGTGCCAGCCTTAAGCCTAAAACTTTGGCCTAAAAAGCACATCACTCTTCAGCCCTTTCCTCATTCATAACTGAGCTTTAAGTCCCTCTCTGTGTGCACACTCTATGATGGCCCTTAACAATGACCAGGATTACACAGCCCATTCCAGGTGCACTTCAGTATAAATAACCTGACCTGAGAAAGCCTCTTGCCTTTGCCTCCGGACTGTGTTCCCTGATCTCCCCTCAGCTCTGATCTCTGTGTGTCACTTGACTTCAACCCTGGCTTTTAACTTGACTGACCCTCACCCTGTCTCCTGATCAGCCCTTGCGCGTGACTACAGCGCCTCCCCAGTGACCCCCCACTTGTTTCGTATTACGAACCCGGACTGTGGTTACCAGCATCCTGCAGGTCTACCAATCAACCATGATCCAGGAATTTCCACGTGAGCTGTGACCTGTGGCTGATGTGAGAGCAGCCCCTGACACAACACGATCCTCTGATGAAACTGTCAAGATCCTTCCTAGAATGTGTGCTGGACGTCACCCAGTTGGATCAGCTTCAGCACCATGACTGAATAGCTGATTATAGACCCACAATGCTGTGAAGTGAAAGGGTTTGTTACAACCTGATGGATCATAATGACTGTGTGGCAGCTCCTTTTTATTTTACTTTCACCCGAGAAAAATCTGAAATTGAAAGCATTTGTTTGTTATGCTTGGTCTGGATGAATCTCCATCTCTCTTTCTCTCATTCATCTTAGATGTCTGGGCACTTGTGCAGAAGCCAGGTGTTTGGTGTCTCTAACCCTCCTGGCTGCCTCACACACACCTGCTGAAAGGGAGCCCGAGTGTAAATGGGGAGGATTGCCCTCTAACACAAGATCAGGCTGCAGTTGTTAAAAGTGAAAGTCTGGGAGGGTGAAAGGCGCTGGAATGTAATGCTCTGTTAAGCTCATGCAGTTCCCCCAGCACAGCACGAGGCAGCCTGTGAGGCAGAACTGGGGAATGTGAACAGGGTTTCAGCTCAGGGCTGTGAAGGGAGGCAGGTGAAGGCAGCAACCATCTGGCTGTGTGGTTTCTCTCTCTGCTGCTGCCCCGAAACTGACTGTCAGTCTGCTGCTCTGTGATTGCAATTGCACTCTTTTCCTGTGATTGTCTCTTTGCTACTGTTCTGTGATTGTCGTTCTTCCTTCGTTCTGTGGTTCTGCCAAAAGCAAAACATACTAAATTAAAATTACAGTTTCAAATCTAATTTTAAGGTAATTTAAACAAATTAAGCTGAATTTCATGGGCTTCTGAGCAGCAGTGTTGTGTCATTTATCTGTGAAATACCATGTTGGCAATGAATGTGATTAATTCTTTCTCACTTTTTGTTGAAATGTTAAATGAGCTAACTTACAGTATGTACAGTAGGTGACAATGCTAAATGATTGAATGAAGTGTGTCTATTATGAAGAGGCAAGTTCAGCATATCATATCTAATGAACATTGTATATTGTATATAATATTTGTCTGGTTTATAAAAAGCAATCACTTTGTAGTAGCCTTAAAACAGAATATTTTATTTTTGAAATTTTAAGGAAATTTTAGATTAGAGTTGGCTTTCATTTTTCGTTATTTAAAAGTAAATTAAAAGTATAATATATATCTGACTATATTGCAAATTTGTCCTCACAGCTCTCTGGTCCAGGGGTGCCTTCTGCATGGAATCTGGATGTTCTTACTCTGATCAAGCAGGATATTTCTTTGTGCTCCAGTTCTTCCCACCTTCCAGAGCCCTGCTGGCTGGGATAATCGATCTCCGCAAGGTATTGCCCCCGTCTGCTTGTATCAAAGTGCCCTGTGTTGGACTGGCATTCTAGCTGCTGTCCCACCTTGTGCAAAGTCCTCCAGAATAGACTCTGGACCAGGAATAAGAGACTTTCTGATGATGGATGGACTCAGATTTGTATGATACAAGAACACAACTACACAATGCATCTGACTGTCAGACATGTCTGTTGTGGTGTTGGAGACTTCAGCCTTAGATGTACTGTAAGTCTTAGTAATAATTATTTCAGTACTGTACATCGATAAAGTTTCTAGTCAAACACCACAGAAAGAAAATCAAGTCTGAATAAGAAAGAAGAACTGAAAGGAAGACATTGACAGTGGAGGGCTGGGAAAGAGCAGTTTGGTGCAGGTTTTGGTACAGCTGCGTACGAGACTTCACACCACTTTATTTTCACTGACACAACTCTTTGATTTATAATTAGAATTATTAGATGTATTGATAGGTACAGAAGATATACTGTAGTGCTTTATTGGGCAATCTGTGTATGTAAACTAATATATGTATATAGAAGTGCTACTGCGGGCAGTTAATTGTGCAGTTTATGCCCTAGATGGGCTGCTGGAAAAGGACTAAGTGCTGCTGTATGCATGTATGTTGATCTCCTTATTCAGATTCCTCACCGGGTGACTGTTCATAACCCCATCAGCAGCAGAACCATGAGTCCCCCCATAGACTGGACTCCAGTGGTTTGGTGGTGAGCAACTGTGACAGACAGTAGGGGGCTGGGCTTATTATTAATTTTCTGGCTCCCACCTTCCCAATCCCACACTGTTATGTGGCTGAGGAGATTGATGTTTCATTTTCTATTGGTTTGGAAGCAGG